CAATTAATAATGGAATTTTCGTAAATTGCTCTATATCTAACGAACTCGACTAAATAAGAAAGTGGAGTTCTTGTTTAAAACTTGGTTCTGTTGTTTTTTTTACCGCTCAAAAGAACTTACATTTCTTGAGGAACATAGCCGGAAATATTTCCTTAGTCAACATAGTTTAGAGCCCGTTTCCCTGCGCTCTGCCATCTCAATCATCTGCCCCATTTGTCAATCGCAACACGGATGCAATAATCATCGTAGCATTCATGAGTAAACTCGAACATTACTTCATGCAAATATTAATATTTTATTTTTTAGTTCGCCCTCATCTGCACAGCGAGTACCTACTCATGCAGTTGAATATCTTTTGATCTTTTAATTTGCTGCATAAACACAATTTAAATCAAAGGCCGACCGCTGATGTGTTCCGAATAACGTGCCACACGTGTCAAAATGTGTACGTAATAAGTAAGTATGTGTGATGCGTAATTTTGTTGAAAGGATGCATCAACACGATCTTGTCAGACTGTATTATTTATGTCTATATCTGCAAGTGCTTTCTTCATACTGACTTAATCGTTAAGTAAAGACTGAGTTTTATGCGCTTAAATGGGGCCTATTTGATCTTAAGAAACTACATTTTTAAATAATATTTCCTTTTAATATTATTCCGAATTTTCGATAATTATTGCAGCACATTCTTGCTGTATTATTATAATCGCAATTTGTTGGTATCTAAGTCTTTCATGAGATCCAAGCAGCAACATGTGCTTTTCAGTTTGGCTGTCAGACACTTAATAAAAGTTTGGCAAGACCTGAAAATGTAGAAAACCTTCCGCTTGCCGTTCGTTCCACTTGGCTAAATGCGGAAGTTGAATTTTGCATTTTTTTGCGCAACATACTCTTTTGAACTCGACTGAGAAATCATTTCTGTAACGGTCCCAGCATTGTCTGAAATCCCTTCCTTGCCTGTGCTAATAACATGTCATTATCGTCATATTTGTTTACCAAGTTCAGTCCACCTATATTTAATCAGCAATTTAACACACATAAGAACAGAAATGCAGCGTACAAAATTATCATAATAATTATTATATAGTGTATCTCTTAAAAGAGACTAGCTTAAATTGAAATTCTGGCCAATGGGCTTACATTTTGGAAATGTTGTATGGGCTTAACAAATGTACCGTAAATCTTGATTTCGTTTATTGTTTAAAAGGTAATAACCGAGAGAGAGGCAGTAAGAGAAAAAATAAGTCAGAGAGAGAGAGAGAGAAAAAGGGAAATAGAGAGAGAGAGAGAGATGAGAGCAAAAGATAGAGAGAGAGAGAGAGAGAGAGAGAGAGAGAGAGAGAGAGAGAGAGAGAGAGAGAGAGAGTGAGAGAGGGAGAGAGGGAGAGAGAAAGAGAGAGAAAGAGAGAGAAAGAGAGAGAAAGAGAGAGAGAGAGAGAGAGAGAGAGAGAGAGAGAGAGAGTGGACGAGAGTGAATTAAGGTAAAGAGAGAGAGTGAGTACAAAAGAAAGAGAGATGGAGAGAGCTAGAGAAAGAAAGCAAGAGAGACAGAGAGGGAGAGAGAGTGCAAGAGCGAGAGAGAGAGTGTAAAAGAGAGAGAGAGAGGGAGCAAAAGAGATAGAGAGAGAGAGAGAGAGAGAGAGTAAGAGAGGGAGAGAGAGAGATTAGAAAAAAGAGAAACAGCGTACAAGAGAGCAAAGTAAAGTGAGAGGAAGACTGAGCTGATTCTAACTTTTTAATATTTCCAACACCACTTTCCTATCTAACACTTACAATTAAAGAGAGAAATTATATTAGGCCTACTTGAATTTATGAGAATCGAGTAGGAGAGCGATAAGAAAAAATTCGTTTTATTTAATTTGCAGCGCTGCGGCAAATAAGTTTGTATAAGAAAACATACAGACACACATACATACATATAAATATATGTGTCCACATATGTATATGCACACATACTTACACAAGAGCATGCGTACAACCATACTTATATATATGTACAATCTTATAAGCTTATGTACCTTTTGCGGGTGGAATTTTAAAAACTCCTTTTTGGAGTGCACGGACATCGTATAAGGTAACCACTGTAAAATGCAGTTGCCAATCATTCAGTCAGTTAGTCCGTCAGTCAGTCAATCAGTCTGTACAAACAGTTGTATATATATTAATACAGTTATCTCAGCAATATTCGATTGATTGGTTTGAGACAATCGACCTTTGCACATGGACACACAATTATTTGTTGTGCAATAGTACTTAGTTTGTTTTTTTCGTTTTTTTTTGTTTTATGGCGTTGTTGGCATATTATTTGAATGTATTCGGAGTCAGAAATGCCATAGAAATATTGTGACAAAGTTATAAAAGCGACTGCAGAGGTATCCCAATTGAACGATCCAGCTTAACTCGCAGACGACGTCTTATAGCAACAAAGGTGTTTTTTTCTTCATACCATATTTTTTTTTTGTCAATCCCACACAAGCGGCGTAATCTGGTGTCTTGAATAAAAAACCAGTAGCTCAGAAGAAGAAGAATAAAAAGAACTCTCGAATATTAAGCTGACGTCTGTTTTTATGAAGTAAATTATTATTTCATGCGCCGAGCACTTTGTTGATTCTTGTCCCTCTTTGTAACTGCAGACAAAGGCCTAACATAAAATGTCGGGCGTGTATTGTCAGCGCCGTTAAAACTCTGTCGTCATTTGAAATTGGAACGGATAACGTTTGTCAGATTATGTCGATCGCAATATCGTCTGGAATTTTCAGTCGAATGATTTAATTATGTTGGCGGGGCGGCAAACGGACATCAACACAACTTTCTTTTATACAAATTATTCATTCTTAAATAGTTTAGGTAACCCCGGCAGCTCAACTGGAGTCAACTAATCGGTTTATAGTATTACGCCTATTGATTGGTCGGCGGCACAAAGACCAAAACAATGGATGCATTTACGAAAGCACTTTCGTTTCACGGAAAAGACGACAAAAGTCGATCGGATCGCAAACATCTTATACCCATTAAAATGTGTTGAAATGGAATACTAATATTGCACAAATATGCACTCTATATAAGTCGATATATGATCGCGAGTGTTGGTGAAATTTGAATGAACTTAAAAAGTTTGTTGTGCTTAATATTATCTTATAGTAAAGGACTTTCGATTAGACAAGCTTTTATAGCTTGAACCCCATAAAAATGGGTAAGGAGTATTTTGGTTTTCTGCAAATGTACGTAACAGGCAGTTCTTGAACTATGAGAGAGCCCAAAGGCATACCTAAATACGTACTTATTAACAGCAGAATCTAAAATTCGGGTGGGATAAAGTTTATGGTTCAGGCTACAATAAAATAATTACCTTTAAAAATACAATTATAACTAAATACATTGCAGCTTTATGAAAAAATTATTTTAAAATATGTTTATCGAAGAGGCACATCCCATTTAAGTAGGGTATGGCCAGGTCTCACTTTTTTAAATAGTTTTTATGAATTGTAATCTTCCTCGGGCAAACAGTATGTGGTTTTGACACCAACCCAAACCAATAAAACATCTTGTTTCTGATGAATTGATGCATGGATTAATAATGAACTGATTTCATTATTGTCAAAACTCCCGAGGATATTTGTGTTTAAAAAATTGTTAATTACCTAGTGTAACCTAGTTGATCTAGTAACTATAGCTGCTTATTAAAAGAAAAACAATTTGATGGGTGCAGGGTATAAAAACTTTATCCACTAGCATATTACTGTCATTCATAGCAAGTCTTCTGCACAATCTGATTTAGTTCTGTTTAGGTCTGCGAATGCACTTCCGGTCTGCGCTGCAGGAAAACACGTTTCGAGCAAAATGAAATTTTGCTTTTCAGCTTTTTCGCCAGTACATCAACCACAACAAACGCTTTCGAATAACTTAAAGACATCGTCTGCGCTGACATGAAGACAGCGGCGACAAGAGACAAGAGACCAAGGCCAATCAAGCCGTTGACTACTTGGTGACTTGACATTGTTAGCGATTAACGATTATCAATTTGAGTTGCTTGACTCTCCGCTGGACTGACTGCGATTTGTATTACCCTAATACCAATATCGATTTAAATTAATGAAACACTTTAAATCAAATGAAATGGGTGTGTGGTTATCAAGAGTATTAATTAAGACCAATTGTTGAGAATATTAAATCTTTGTCATTCAAAGTAAAGTTTTTTGTTTTTCTTTTTTATATGTATCATTTTCATTTTTATTTTTTTTTTATTATTTATTATTTAGGTATAATAAGTATATACAGTTGCATTAAGTATATTACACTAAAGACTAAAACTATGCGAGCTTACAATCAAATTTGTGCATAAAATACAGCAATTATTAAATATATATATATATATATTTATGTGTATATGTATATTCGTACACTAAGTATAAGTAGGTAAATCGTGATTAGCCAATTTATCAAATAAATACATACATATACATACAAATACAATAAATTAAATTTACAAACGACAGGAACAAAGTTTGAACTTAAGACAATAAAAACAATAAACAACTAAATCAATCATTGCTCGCATTTACTTGCATATTTGGTTTGGGTCAGGGCGGTCGGGCGGTTGGTGTGTGTGTGTTGGTATGTGGTGGGTCCAGGGATTGGATTGGAGCTTGGTGACGTTGATATGTTTTATGTCCACCCGATACAAGCATATGACATGGTACTTCAATTAACTTAATATGTGTAAGATACTCATATATATATATATCTATATGTATATATGGTACATATCGTTGATCAGCCGCATAGATCAGCGCCGGTCTGAAGCCAATTATATGTGAAGGTCAAAAAAATATATGTATATAACTACTTTGCTAGATCTCAAAGCGCTGGCATAACATGGGGAGCTCTAAACGTCACAGAATGCGCGGGGTTCGAACCAGCTTTGTGATTCTAATCTAACAGCTAATCGAACAGAAGCACCAACTGGTTGCTTGGTGTGTGAGAGAGTGTGGATCAGGCTATATTTGGGTTTGGGTTGGGTTCCTGTGCTCAAGATACATATATTAATCTGCTTCGTTTTTTTTTTTTTTGTATGTGTGTGTGTTTGTTTCTTGTGTGCTGCTAGTTGTCATTGGGGTAGTTTTTCACTAACTCTTACAAATTTACTTCCTATAAGCTCTGATTGCGTAAGTTGTATGTATTTTAAAATTAATGTATTTTCAATTAGATTTAGGATTTGCATTCCCACAAATTGCACAAAGTCCTTGACAGTTGATGCGGCTGTTGTGTCAATGGAACCGCTGCTGAACCAGCGGGATGATTCTTGCTATTTGGTGTAAGCGGCGTTTAATCAAAATACCGAATAATCACATGTAAATTATTGTCCGAAAGTTGCCCGATCTGCTACAGGAACTGATCTAAACTAGCTCGATAGCCGGGCGCCCTGCTCGCTGACCTGACCCGTACTCTGTGCCTGGCTACGGCCGTAACAGCGCCAGCTTTGGTGCTTGCTGCTGCAGGTGATGCTCCCGTATGGCGATCAGCGACAGGGACCGGAATGCCGAGATCGGAGATGCGGCTGATCCATTGGCAACCACCGGCGGCAATGCGTACGGATCAGGGGACGCCGACGCCGACGCGGACGCTGAGGCTGACTGCGAGTGCGAGTGCGAGTGCGATGGGTGTCATGGCTTGCCGCTTAGGCTGACGACATTTACACCAGGCGAGATCTTCCCGGAATTGGAGGAGGACGATGAAGAGGTCGAATTGCTGGATATGGGCCCGATCATATGCTGTACTGTGGAATGCGATCCACTGGTGGGTATATGCACCACATCACATCCCATTGACGACGACGAGCTGGAGGCTGACGGCGATGCACCCGGCGGCGGTGCCACCTGTGCTGGTCCCGCATTGCTGCTGGTTGTCAGGCTGAGCGGCGCAAAGTGCTGGCCACCTGCTGCACCGGACACTGCCGCCTTCCACAGCAACGGATTCATGCCGAGTCCATTGTGAGCCGCTAGGCTGGCACCAAAATGCCGCTGATGCTCCAGAAACTCCTGCGTGGGTGCACTCAAATGGGCGGCAGCAGCTGCAGCCGGTCCATAGAAGCCGCGATACAAATCCGGCCGCACATATGGCGCATAGTTGGGTATGCGAGCGGCCAGCGGCGAGAGTATCTTGCCCGGAGACGGATGCTGGTTGTGACCCGCATGGCCATAGAAGGCCGGCTGAGACGGTGGCAGCTCGCCAGCAGGCGAGTTATCCTTGTTGCCAGAGCTCGACTCCTTGCCGTCCTTGGCCATGTCGGCCAGCGACCAGATGCGCGGCTTCACGGCCAGGCTGGCCCCAGTGCCGCCGACCGCGGTTTGCAGTGAATTCTGCTGCGCCTGCTGATGCTGCTGCAGTAGCTGCTGCTGATGGTGGTGGTAGGCGGCGATGTCCGGTGGCGAGCCAGTCGGTGGCCGGAAGTGATGATGCAGGGCGGCGGGATGGAACAGCGGATGGGTGCCAGGTCGGTCGTAAAGATCTGGCGAGCCGTTTGGCGAACCGGGCCGCGACTCAGACCATTCGCTGTTATTGCTCTCGCCGGGTCGGTCGGCCATCATATCGCCCAGTCGCCCAATACGGTCCTTATCATCATTTGAGCCCAGTCCAGAGTCCTTTGCATCTGTAACAAGTTAATTGTGGCCAAATAAGTATATGTTGCAGCCGAGGCAGTTTGTGGTTGGATAAATAAAGAATAGAATAGAAGCCTTCCATATAATTAGCGCGTCTTTCCCGGCCTTGCTAGTCTAGTTTTTTTTTCTTGATTTTGATCGACATTACATTTCCATCCATTTTCCGCTCGTGGTATATTTAATGTAATTTACATAGATATTTGAAAATGAGTTTAAAGTGGAGTCGACTTTCAAACTTGTATTCTCGTATTCATTATTTAACAATTCAGATATTTCCCCCAAGACGGGTGGAATTTGTGAAAAGTGTGGGACACCTCTCAAATGAACTTTCACAAGGATCTTTGAGTTTGAGTTTGCATGCCACCGATTTCCGTGCATTTTCCCGTTACAGCAGAAACGATAACTACAGTAAAAATGACAGTTTACTAGCTTTTATGGTTTGCGCTGTGCGTTGATCGCCAATCAGTCATTCAGTCAGTCAGTAAATCAGACACTCAGTAACAAAAAACACATATAGAGATTATGGCTGCTCAGTCAGTCAATCAATCAATTACTCAGCCAATCAATCAGTCATTTAAGAAAAATTCATATAGAGTCAATCAGTTATCCACGAACAACAACAAGATTATAGAGCTCTTCAATCAGTCAGTCAGCCACGAAAAAATCTTATATAGATTATGGAGCTCTTCAGTCAGTCAATCAATCAGTCAGTCAGTCACGGAAAACTCTTTGATATAGAATATAGAGCTCTTCACTTACCTAGCAAATCGTTCTCCTCCGTATTCTTATCGTTATCATCGTCGTCGTCAATGTTAGCATCATCGTCGTCGACTCGGTTCCTTGGCTCCCAGGTCATTTTGTTCTCCTTTTTCAGTCTTCTTCTCGCATTTGCAAACCAGGTGGATACCTGGGTGAGCGTCATTTTTGTGATAATCGCCAGCATTATTTTCTCGCCCTTCGTGGGATAAGGATTCTTTTTGTGCTCGTTCAGCCAGGCCTTGAGCGTTGATGTCGTCTCGCGCGTTGCGTTCTTGCGCCGGGCACCATTCAAGTCCATGCCATAGCTGCAATCAAGAAAAGCCAATAGATTAGAGAGAGCGACCTTTGAGACTAGCGAAGGGTTTGGGTCTAAGGGCCAACGTCTGTACAGAGCAGTACACAGGTGGCAAAAATAATAGGAGCACCATTTTTCACAGAGTCTGGCTAATTTAACGGGCCAAACTGTTGCCAAGCTGACTTTAAACAGCGCTGTGAACCAGCAAAAAAAATGTTAGCTGGTTCGATTTACATTTTAGGTTCGCCTCGCGAAGCTGGATTTTGGCTTAAACTTTGCTTTGTTTTTTAAATTTATTACTGTTCCTTCTACTAAAAATTACAAATTAAATTTGCTTTATAATAGATTGCTTCCAGCTTCGGTAGGGCTGCCTTTTGGGCAATTGATTTGGCTTTAAGTTCGGTTCCTAGCAACAAATAAATGGCAATTCCGAATTCGAATCAGTTTGGTTTCATTTGGGAACGCATCATCGATGGGCGGGCAGCTTGGCTCACTCTCGCTGGAACATTTGTTTATAATAAACACATTTGCTAGCCAAATGTGCAATGGGCCGCCTGTCTGCAGTGGCCAGCGACATTTATGTACACATGCTGCAGTTTGCGGTCGGGCAACACATTTCGGGGCTGACCATGGTAATTGCAATGGGCGCGACTGTCCTTTATCGTTTTTTGTGGGCAGTTAACATGGACATGGAGTCATGTGTGTCTGGCTGTGTGCATGTTTTATACATGTGTATATATGCACAAGTGCATCCATAGACAGCAGCGGAACAGCAGATATGCGTACATATGTAGCTGTCCCATTTGTAGTTTCCAGCCAGCTGCACAACTGCTGGACTCGGACTCGGATACTGCGACTGCCATTTCGCGGCAGTTGCCGCCGATGCCAGTCTGTGTGTGTGAGTGTGAGTGAGTGTGTGTGTGTGTGTGTGCTCTGTGTGCGTTGCATTAATTAATTTAAATTTGAAAACGAAGTGTCGCCGAGTGCAAAACACCTGCGCCGACAGCCACTCACTGCCTTTGATCACTTGACAGTTGAATAAATTTTTTTAATTTTCCTATCAACGTCCGGCGGCTTTTTGCCTCAGCCCGCACACACGTGTGGCTGTAGATGTGAACGTGGATGTGGATGTGGATGTGACGTGGATGTGGATGTGGATGCCGTTGTCAAACAATGCAGCGGGGGCTTGCGTTCACGCCCCTTTTTAATCGGACAAGGTGGGGCCAAGCAAACACACACATCCACAAATTTCTTTGCAGCTTTATCCACTGAATTCGGAATCGAATTCGCAGTTCTCTGGCGGCACGTCACGGCGAAATAACTCAAAATTGATTTATTGTGAATATGATTCGATAGACAACAACAATAACAACAAGAAGAAGAAGAAGCACAGCAACGACATGACTCAACTTTCAAATTTTTGTTATGGGTGTCAATTACTGTGGAAACAATGAGAGAGCAGGCAGCCAGCGCTCTACCTGACGTGACGGGATGTTGTCGCTGTTTTGTTTAAACGGACAACTCTGTTTGGAAATATCGATGTGTGTCGATGGGCAAAACTCTTCGATGCGTTGTCGTCGTTGTCGTCCAGCGGAAGCGGCCACTCCGCCAACGCCCGTCGGCCGATCATCAATTACAAGCAAATAAATTGTTGTTAATGATAGAAAATCAAATATATGCGAGTGTTTTATTGTTTTTATACACACACCCATTGAATATGATTCAAATGGGGTAGATTGTTTCTGGCAGAAGGATGCATCTCTGCGACCAGGAAGTAAATATATTCTTGGTCAGTCTTAAGAGTCGACAATTATACATTGTCATATACCATACGATATTTCTTATAAAAAATCTTCCCATTTGCTTTATATCGATATTTATCGATTTTGTGATAAGGTTTTTTAGGTATGGTTCGATGATTAAAAGAGGTAGAGACATCAAATGTTGTATTTATGCTCTAGTATAGTATACATAGATGCTGAATATTTTATGTTCGAAATACCGCTTCCCGTTTCCCTCAAAACCTTAAAACCTCATAAGTACAGCCTTGGACCCTGGTATATACACATACTTGGATGACATATTTATGCATTGAAAATTGCTTTATGATCGGACTATAAGCACCGAAGTTATTCAAGTGAGGATTTCCTATGGTAAGGGACTTGAACAGCTCAGCTGACGTGCAGTGTGTGTGTGTCTATGTTTGTGTGTGTGTGTGAGTATGCATTATAAGAAAACTTAAATGTTCAGGGTATCCCCTAGTCGAGCACTCCAGATCAGAGCTGGCTTGTATTTCTTTTGTGCGTGCCAATGTGCATGGCTTTTACTTTTTACGCACATTGCGGCTAAGGTGAGCACCGAATTTGGCTGGCATTTCGAATGCAGCTGCACGCAACTGTGGCACACAACTTTCAACAGCCACTGTGCCAGCTCCTGATGTATTATTATTATTGCTGGCTACTACTGTTGCTGTTGGCCAGGGCCGCGCCCTAGTTGAGCATATGGTATTCATGTGCTGGTCACGTCTCCGGGCTGATGTGTTGGCGTTGATCGCCTGTCGGACCACCGTTCATGTTCTCGCCCGTTCAGAGTTGAGTCTTTTTGTTTAAATAGCAAATCTCTATGCCGACACACTCCTGATTGTGTCGGCTGGCTGGCTCAATGTCAAATTATTGTTATTCATCTGCTGCACTTACCTATTGAAGGGGTAACCGGCAAAGGCTGCGTCATACGGATGATACATTGATGGATACGGCCACGGTGCACCTCCGGCCACCAGGTTCTCCTTTAAATCAATGCCGGCCTGCAATTGAATAGAAACATAATCTATTATAATTGGCATTTTTCAATATAATTAATGTTTTACATATTTATATATATATTGTATGTAGCTATATCTCTCGAAAATTGAATATTTTGAACTGCTTGACCAATAGCCAAGACCTTGAACCGAAATTATTAAAAATCATGTTAAACAAATCATTAGTACATATTTTACGCTTTCATCTACTTATTTTTGGGAGGTATGCGTTATCAGAGCAATGCTTACAATGGGACAAATTAGAAACTTTACGTTGCTCAAAATAATCATATAATATAGGAGTGATCGGTAGAAAATTAAATTCTTTTCGATTTTCTAGATAGCTTGACTAAGTTGGACGATTACAAGTTCCGTCTACCCGATCATAAGACTACAATAGAAGGAATTGGTTGGAAATATAGCCAACAGTCTAGAAAGGGAACTGTATCGATTGGCACAGTGGCTAAAAATTGTAGCCAATGTTAATAAACATTGAATTCGGCCCATTGTACAGCAATATTTAGTGATAAGCTAGAGCAGCAACCGAAGCTAAGATCTGTCCCCCATGAGGACAAGACGTGACCAAAGGGCGTCCGCATCCGCGTCCACGTCTTCATACATATATATATATATATTTATATACACTTCAGATTCACAGCTACGACTATTTAATTTGATAATGCGATGCGAATACATGGTTTTTGTACATAATACAAGTAGACGTAAATGAAACATATGTCGGGCTGTGGCCATCTCTTGCTATAGCGCGTAATTAAAATCGCAAAAGCCCACAGATAGAGATACACGCACACACATACACACACACAAAGGCACGGGTGTGTATGTGTATTGTTGATTAAGTGTAACATGACAATTACTTATATACACATTTAGTAATTTAGTCTTGTCTAAATTCACTGCGACAGATGTTGATGTCAGCTGTTTGTCGTGTACCAAGTGATAACAGGCCTAAAGATTGCACAGAGCCCAATCCAAAGAAAAGGGCAACAACAGGAGAATGGGGGGGGGGGGGGGGGGGGGAGAGCAGCTGCTGCAATGCCTAATAAAAAAGTGGTTAAAGCCCAAAATGAGGCATAATTTATGGGCGTTATTTTCGGGATTTCGTTCTTGACGTAGTCAAAGATCACACGAGATTGAACATGCTGTAAAGCAATGCTTGATGCGATAAAAATACCTATGGATTGGTGTACAATGGTGGTGAAGGCGGCGTAAGATGAAGCACGGTTCAATATAGGGTATCGCCATTACGGCAGTCAAAGGTCAGAAAACTGCTTGAAGATGATGTAACAATTGATATGATTGAAACGATGAAAATAGTTATGGACAGAAATGTGTGTACAAAACTGGTTTAAGCCTAAAATGGATACTTTCTTTTATATGATATCTCTGTAGATACAGTCTAAGCTCACAAGATATTGAATATGATGTAAAGCAAGCGATTGATGCGTTAAAAATACCTATGGATTGAAGTATAAAAATAGTTAAAGCCAAAGATTATGCATTAAGCGTTCATTATGGGGTAACTGTATGACGGACGTGAAATCTTTAACAATTGCTTGAACATGATTGATATGATTTATACAACAAAAATACATACGGACTGGCACTTGGTGAATATTATTTGGTAAAGCCATCATTGTATGCATTTATAGGGTATCTCCATAATGGCAGGCAAAGGTCACACAACTGCTTGAACATGATGTAATATCAACGATTGATACGCATCTAAGTACATGAAAAACGCACGTTGCGCCGTGTGTCTTCAGCGGGGAGTTTCCGTTCGCATGTGAAGTATGCGAATATACGACATTAAGGCGACTGACAACAGTTGCAGTTGTAGTTGTTGCAGTTGCAGTTGCAGTTGTTGTTGTTAGCTGGGACGTCGAGACGACGGCTGCTGCTGGCTGCAAATCGGAAATATTTGTGTGTCGCCAATATGAGAATGTTGCCGTTGGGTGCGCTGTTTGGACCGATATCAACGCCAATCGCCAGGCAGAGACAGTAAGAGAGAGAGAGAGAGAGAGGGAGAGAGGAACAGCTAAGGGCCACGACCGTCGGCGCGTCGGTTTGTCGAAGGTTCGCATGCCCAGCATGTGGTGAGTTTTGAGCCAAGCAGCGATAGAGACTGATAACCGGCGACAGAGATCTGTGCTGTGAGCCGTGGCCCTCGGCTGTGGCCAGTGTTGTGGTTGTCGTTGTCTACTGACAGGTCGACTGCAAGGAAGCGCTCGTAACGTGCAGTTCGCAGAAGTCATTTAGCAAAACGTTTTACAACCTTTTGGCAGACTCTGACAATATTAAATTACAGTTCTCGAATGCAAGAAATACACAAGTCTTCTTCGGCTCGGTAGGTCGAAAGTTGCCTAACCGAGCGATCAATTACCAGCTGGAGCTGGAGCTGGAGCTGAAGCTGGAGTTTCTGTTGCATCCCGATCCCAATACCGATTCCGACTTTGATTCCGATGCTGCTGGCGATTCCTCAATGAATCGCAGCCGAACCGGTTTACATTTTTACAACTTTTACAATAATCGCATTCAACTACCAAACGTGCACCAGCACCATGTTCAGCAACAGCATCCAGAGTATCCGCATCCGCATCCAACAAATCCATACAATCTTTCCTTGTGTGCTGCCTGGCTCCAGCGAGTGTGGAGTGCGTGCTGCATATGGACATGGACACGGGCACGGACACGGACATGCGAGTGAAGCGCATTCGGTGCAACATCCCATAAATTGTTGCGTTTGCTACCACTTACATAGGGTGCACGGCAGCCGGCACGGTCGTCCACCTCCGCTACCGGCGAACAGCTCCCAAGATTCTTGCGTGTGATGCAAAATATTAACAACATGAACAGACGACATGTGTGCAACTACGTTTTGCGTTTATTATTACTGGTAGTGGCAACAGCCACAACATTGCTGCAGCATCCATTACAGCAGTACAGTATTTGGACCAGAACTGGCATGGATCGAGCCAAAGCGAATGGCAAGTGATATACACAATTTATGTGTCTGCATAGGCCAGGAAGCGATGCATCATATTTTTAATACTCGGCCGAGTTAGTTTCTTTCCTTGTTTTGCTATGATGAACATTTTTATCTAACTTGTGAACAGATTTTGTTTGATTTCCTTTCTTAATTTACTTCTTATTGCTCTCTGATAAGAATTAATTTAAATATTCAAGTTCATTTAGGCATGTTCATGTCAAAGCTCATGGCAAAAATATATGCTGTAGTTATGCTGTAGTTCATGGCGACAGTTGGCAATGCTTATGCGAATGTGTGAAAGGTGTGTAATTGCATGCTCATTGTAAATATTTACAATGTAGATAACAGCACATGCTAACGGTACTCTACAGAATGCTGTTTCGTATTTACACTGAGCATGAAGAGAAGGTCAAGCAAGTTAGATAATTAATGGATTGCGAGTAAAACAGTATATTGGGTATCCGTATCCGTAGCACCGTAGCGGCAGCTGGATCACATTGGTGACAGTGCGCAGCTTCGGGCTGTGTCGGTTCACGCATTGTGGAGTGCAATTTCACGGCTACCCTCGGCGCATGGGAAGCGGGAAGCTAATTAATTCATAAAAAAAACAAACAGGGCATCATCTGATTTTCATTGTTGACTAAATTGTAAGGCGCTGTTTGCGCTTCACGCCAACGTCAATGGATGTCCCACGGATGTAGCCCAACACCGACAATTGGCCGACACGTCGCGACGGCCCGAATCGATTTGACTTGGAGGCGGCTCTGGCACCGGCAGCGGCGACGGCGACGTCTCCGGAACGGGTACAGCCTTGCGGTTTGCCTGTGGTCTGTCGCCTGATGCGCCGCGATGCGAATGATGCGCGTAATGACGGGTCGAGTTAATTAATTGCTGCTTCGATTTAAAAATAAACGCACGTTTACGCAGCGCATTCCTGTCTGTACTCATTGGAACGAGCCGCGACCGAAGAATGAATGGAATCAGTAACAGCATCTGAATCAGCATCCAGCTGAATCTGAATCAGAATCTGAATCGGTATCGGGAATCGGTATCAACAGATTTCTGAAATCGACGACAGCGACAATTTTGACTTTCAAAATAGAATCCGTGCAGCGTCTAGCGCCAGCTCCAGCGCCAGCAATCCCTCAGGAGATGCCTTCTCGTGCCGCTCCACACGCAGCAGTTGACAGTTATTGCGCTTGGCGCTTATAAAGTTGTACGACTCTGATGAGGATGTGGCATGGATGTGAACGTTGTGAGCGTGGAACGCCTGAAGCTGTTGTTGTTATGTGAAAGTTGTAAGTGTGGTTCTTGCTGCTTGTTTGCTTGGCTCCAGTTGTTCGTTGTTGTTGTTCGTTGTTGGCGTTGCCATGACTGCTAATTTGTTGTTTGTTGTAGGCAGCCATTCAAACATTCTCGTAGACACCCAGAGAGTTGCCTTGTGTGTGTGTGTGTGTGTTTGTGTACATAAGAGTGCAAAATTTACTGTTAACGAACATTTTCAACTTTGCCAAAAAGCCAAACAACAACGGCAGCAACACAAAAACTTTCCACAACACTTACGGCAACAACAATGCGAACGTAGCATGGGTAAATGTATTTAGTACTTCGGTTCTGGGGCCCCAGCTCCAGATCCGTCACCTTGCCATTAGGGCAGCAACCCCCGAAAAAACAACACGACGAGAACGAGGACCCGGACGAGGACACGGACGAGGACAGGGACGAGGACGAGGACGAGGCCGACACTTCGACATTTTGAAAGTTGACAAATCAGTGCATGTACGTTCTCTGGCAAATCTCTCCAGTTCCAGCTCCTGTGGACTCTGCGACTGGGGGTTGTTTCTGAGCTGTCGAGTATGTGTGGACGAGATGTTGTGGGAGTGTTGCTGGGCTCTCCTGCCAACAAATTTGGCATTGGTGCAAGCGAGTGGTCCGATTTGTAGTTGGCTTTTTGTGTTACATTCTGCAGGCAAGTTGCCAGCGGCACAAAGTTTTTGTAGTAGCTCCCACAGGACCTGGCTGTGGATATGGATATACATAGTATCTATATACCGCATACACACTTGTGCGTTGTGCTGACTTTGTGTTGGCCCCGAGTAAGATTATTGTCGAGTGCGAAATTTCATGCGTGCATTGTTGTTGCTATTGTTGTTCTTGTTGCCTTTGACATTGACGTTGATGTAGATGTGCAGATTCTTGTTGTTGTTGATGATGTTTTGCCACTTAGTAAGAGTATGAAAAAGTCAATAGACCCGTAGCCCACAGACCCAGTCCAGCTGCAGCTGGACTCTCGTTTATAGAGTCCAGCTTGTAGTAGCTGTTTTTGCTGGTCTGAAAAACATCAAGTGCTTAACACCCGGTGCTTGGCTTAAGGCGGCATAGGACTGCGTCCAAAAATATCTATGATTGCGTTCGTCTAATTGGGCAGTGGCTGAGGGCAGCAGCAGCAGCGGCAGCTGAATCACGCGATTGCGTCCAGGATATGCAACATATGCGCTAACGTCAATGTCAACCTTAAGGATAAACGAAACTGAGAGATAAACTGACGGCTGGCTGGCTGGCTGAGTGACTGACTTTGGCTGTGGGTCGGGGGCGGATCACAGGCGGACAGCCTGTCACTTGCGTGTTGACAAATTTATTAATAAGGTACGAAATACGCCAGTCGACGCCCTCAACGACACCGGGCGCGGCCTGGCCTATTTGTTGGCAGGCGGCGCTCTTCAAATGTTTCATGCCATTTGAAATGACAGCAGCGGGCCGCGCCGTTGCACCATCAGCCCATCCATCGAAAAGACACACCGAGAGCGAAGTGAGAGTGAGTGAGAGAGAGAGGGAGTCGGAGGCACAGGCACAGTGGCACATCCACCTTCAGCCATCATCCACCATTTAGCATGCGTCGCCGAGAGGCTCGGAAGACAACAAAATATATTCCCGTGCTGCGGCAAAATGACAGCCGCTTGACAGCTCGTGTCAAAGTAATGAATCCACCGCACAGAGCCGACACTTTTACAACTCCGGCCCGAATGATATGTAGATGCTAAGAAAAATTGCTCCAGTTTAGCGCCGGCGGCTCTAAAGAAATGCCGCATTTGACTAATTACGATCGCCGGATGATTTATGCAGCTGCTTCGCCGGAAAATTCAGAAACTGTTTTGCCATTTTAAACGCTTTCAATCAATATGAATACACTTATAGATATATGGCCACCTCACGGATACATATGCACTTCGAGCTATATATATATGTATATACCCATTAATCTGCTGCGTCAGCGAAGCGCAGACGTCTTTGGCGACATTGATTTTATTACAACTTTTATTGCTTAAGGGCGCGTGCCTCTATAGTCAACTTATGCGTTTTCAAAGCTCCTGTCAAATATGTAGCCTGCAGTTAAATCGCTTATCGTTTTCTTATCTTTATGGGAAGTAAATGTTAAAACTACAGTCGAAAGTTGGCAACACTTCAAAGTTGTTGCTCATTGTAAATATTTACAATGTAGATAAGAGCACATGCTAAAGGAACTCTATGGAATGTTCTATCGCATTTGCAATGAGCTTGAAGAGACAGTCATACATAAAAGTTAGATTATTTATGGCTGTAGAGTTTACTATGAAACAGTAGCTTTTAGCTTTTATCTGCATTGACAGATCGATCGTATTGGTATATATGCACATTCTCCTCACGGATACATATATACACCAAGCAATATACATATATAAATATATATATATTATGCTGCGTCAGCGAAGCGTAGGCGCCTTTGGAGGCATTGAGAGCGACAGTGTTTAATCACCAATCGATAAATTCAAATGCGACGAATTTTTGTATCTTTTTTTTTTGTTTTTTTATTGTATCTTTGTTTTTAATAAGTATCTTTAATAACAATACGAAAGCGGCAACAAAACAAAACCAAATTTATGCAAAACCGCAGCTACTGGCGGCAGGCCGGTTTGTTTTTTTGTCTGCCTGGCTGGCAGCTGCTGCTGCCTAAGCTTCTTCAAATGCAAATCAATATACTTATGCACACACACACACACACACACACGCACACACACTTGATTATATGCTGATGTCCGTAAGTAGTACGACGATCGATTTTTTCACCCGGTCAGTTTTTAGTGGCGTCCGAGAAACACACATACATACACAAACACATTTGTTTATGTATGATTAGATTAAATTATGAATATCGGCCGAGAGAGGTATTAACTTATTTGATATAACTATTACCAACATAAAAATGTTGAACAAACTGGTTCAAAATAAAGTTGGCTCAGTTTTTTATTCATGTTACTCATTGTTTCCAATTTTTTTTTTTTTTCGGTTTTGACAGATCGAAGCTTCATTTAAATATTTTCTTAGTTCAAAAATATATTTGACAATCAGTTCACAGGCGTAAATTTGTTAAATAAAGTACTTGCAAGCGCAAATATTTTAATTTTAAAATCGACATTTTGCTTAAATGTTTCACATTTTTCATGTTTGGTTTTTTGGAAATATAAATAAATATTATCTGCTAGCGGCAGATAAATTTATGCACATTCTTAAACAAAAATGTATTCTTTTGATAAAGCTATTCTTTGCGCCATTAAATCTCAACACAAATATATGCCAGTAAAATATAAAAATATACAAAATATATTTGACAATATATATGAATGTCAGTTAATGTTGAATATTCTTAGCCAATGGACAAAAGTTCATAGCACTATACAAAAGGGTGTCTAGCATTAGTTTATAGTGTAAACATTCAAATGAGCATGGCTGGCAGATACCCTGTTACGTAATTCCCAAGCACATAAATGATATTGTACCTACTTATATACATATATATACACACACACACACATGTTTACAAAAAAACACAAGTGCTGCTCACTGAATTCACTTGTAAAATGCATCTTTAAATAATTTCTGCGCTTTAAGCCCGATTGTTTGGTTTGAGGAAGACAATTTAACATATACGACAAATGAAGGCTTTAGCTTTTTATTGATTCAATTTGTTGTGCTGTCAAATGATATTTTAATGCTAAGAAAGCTCCATTCGTCCATGACATTTGCACAACTTTTTTGTATACCCTTTTAATACATTTTATGGGCATAAGGTATCAGAGAATTAGCATCTAATGCGATGTGCTGTGAATTTTCCCCCCAATAAGTAATAATATTGCAAAAAAAATAAAAAATTATGGAAAATATAATATAAAATATATAAAATAATAATTATAATTAGAATAAGATTAATAACAGACACAAAATCCAGAAGCACATCCTAATCACATTTTATCGATTTTTTTTTGGTATTTTATTGTTTTATTTGTGCGACTCACGACGATCGACTAATTGATTGTCTTCGTATCCATGTGTCAAGTAACGAGCTATTAGCTATTGATTCTCATTATTTGAAATTCGAGCGAATTGAAAAGCCACACACAGCAGATCCGGTCGGGGCATGGCCAGCGACGCAGTTGGGGGTCCTGACCCCTGGCCGTACCATACCCCTGGTAGGTGACCCTCGGCACCGCATGTGGTCCAAGGAAGTCAAACCAAATAGAATTGTTTGCAAACAAAAGCAAATTACACGCTGCTATTAGAAATAATTCGGCGAACAATGGACACGCCGTGAAGCGCCGGACATGCTGTAACAGGCAATGGGAATCGGGACGATGGCGACGGACCTTTGTATGGCCGGGCAGTGCAGCAGCAGAGGAGGCAGCAGCAGCAGAGCGGGCTCAGCTCTGTGGCCTCACAATAATGCGGCTTGAAATATCACCCAGGCCAGAGCTCACCAGGCGGCGGTTGGTCAGCACCAAAAGGTCAGGCATGCCATAAGCATAGGCACCAGGCACAAGGCCTACTCAGAGCTCCAAGTCTTGACAAATCTGTGCCTAGAATGCCAACGGCCCAGGCCCAGTGGGCAGAGCGAAAGCCAAACGAAAGACAACACATGTTCGGAAGCCTGGCCCTGGTGCCTTGTGTGCGTGGCCCTGGCACACGATCAAATGACGACAACGACAACGACAACTACAACGACAACGACAACGACGACGACGATGACGGTGGTCCCTGGTCGGACGATGGACAAATTCACAAATTTATTGCACCATTGTTAAGACGCATGAGTTATGAACAGGCTGCATTTGGACGGGGCTGAGCTGGGTTTTGCATGCGCGCGTTTACTTACCGGATTAGCGTAGAATGGAGGCTGATCGGCGGCGATGCCCGACAGGTAGGCAGACATGCCCTCTGGATACACGCCGAGCGGTACGCCGCCGGGTCCGGCGACGAGTCCGCCGGCCGCAGCTAAACGCTGATAGTTCAGCATATCGTATTGGCAGGAGCAAATGGTCTGGCCGCTAACGGGATCCGTGTAGATGGTGCGCCCGTTGTCACAGCAGCGATTCGGATTCGGGTTGCCAGACCCTGGCGCCTGCGGCACGCCCGGCGGCGGTCCAACGCCCACAGACGGCATTGTTGATGGTCCGGCGCCAGCGCTGCTGCCGGCCGATCCCGCGCCGTATGGCGTGACAGCGGCGGAGCACGGTGAGCCGGAGCGAGCACCCGGCGGCACTGTTGATGTTACCATTCCAGAGCCTGGCCCAGTCAATGGCAGGGGCACACCCGGTGGCAAGCCGGCGGCAGCAGCAGCTACGGCTGCGGTAAGCGTCGGTCCCGGGCCGGCACCAATGCCGTGGCCGGAGCCGGTGCTGGTGCCGCTGCCGGAGCCGGTTGTTGGATTCGCTAGCGTTGGCAAAGGTGGCAACGTCGATGATGTTGGCTGTGAGTGCGGCGTCTGTGCGGCGTTCGAAGTGGGCGTGGTAGGCGATGAGGCAGCAAGGCGAGTTGAAACGGCATTCTGCAAGTAAAAAAAAAAACAAATAGATGAGCGATTGCGAATGCCAAGCGGACAAACTACTGCCAACTGCCAACTGCCAACTCCCAACTGTCTACCGTTTACTGTCTACTGTCTACTGTACCTGGCTGGCAGCTAGCAGCGCGCGGCAAAACTTAATTAAAATCGTTGCCCCCTCTTATCAATGCGATAAGCGCGTCTCTTGTGTGCACACACACACACACACACAATAACAACACACACACACAGGCAAACCGACCCTAGAACCAATAGGCCCGATACCCCTTAATAGCCACATCTTTGACTGTGTCCTAGGCGATCATCAAAGTGGGGCCGCCATTAACAACAAATCATGTTTTCGATTGACAACATTGATTTAAATTACACAGCCGATTGCTGGCAGCGCGGCCAACTGCAACGACAACTGCAACAACAACTGCAACGACAACATCGTCCTAAGAGCAATTTGATTGTGTGCGTGTGTATATGTGTGTTTGTGTGTCCAATGACTGGAAACGGGCTTTGTGCATCTTGGTCCGTGCCCATGTTTTTGTGTGTGCACATAAGCCTATCGCGCACTTTTGTCAACACTTTTAGTCAAGCAACAGCAACAACTGCAACAACAACAACTGCAACAAGAACAACAACAACTGCAGCAACAACAACAACACACATTCGCACATGCGGCCTGCAGAGACACACAAACAAGTTTCAGTTTTATTTATTATCGTCTCTTTGGCTGCTTTCGTAAACTTTTCTCGATTTTGGTCTCTTGGTTGTCGGCTCTTTGCCCGGTTTGTTCATTTTTTTTCATTTTCTTCTTCTTTTTTTACTCATGTTTCAAGGCTCTAGATTGGATTTTTATCTGGCCGGCCAAACACAGTGAGCGATATCACAAAATAGGCACAGATATAGACGGATGCACTGCCTCCACCTCGCAAGCACCGCCCCACCTCCCTCTCTCTACCTCACCCCTTCCCCTGCCCCTTCCCCTGCCGAACTACTCTAAACAACTGAAGTGGCCATACGCGATTAAAAATTAATTCTCTGACCCATATGAAGTCCATTTTCGGGTTTCTGATGGGGCTGATGGGGGTTATCAGTTGGCGCCTTTGAATCAGCCGCCGCGGATGTTTATCGCCAGGCTACGCCATGTCTTCTACGCGACAATATGTATGTATATAAATGTATATATATGTACATATTTGGAGGCATGCCTGTGTATATGTGTGTGTGTTTCTCTAGTGGAACATCCAAAATGGAAAACGCTATCGAATCGAGTATTTGTATAAACAAATGCTTGTGTGTAGTCAACAACTTGAGAATTATTCGAAAGTGTTGTATATCCATACATACATACACACACACACATACACACACTGAGTGTGTGACAGAGGAATTTTCGATCTAAACAGCGATTTGCATTTTCGCTGCGACTTCAATTCGGATATTTCGGTTTCGGATTCAGATTCGGTTTCGGTTTCAGTTTTCTTTGTTGTTCTACAAGTTGCATTTCATATGATTTGTTTTTGTTATTGTTGTTTTTGTTGTTTTGTTTATCGCAAGCATTTTATGGGCTCTTTTCATAGCGCTTGTTCTCGTTACTTATTTGTAATTAATGTGCCAAAGTGTGTGTGCTGTGTGTCTGTTACAGTGTGTGTGTGTGTGTTGGCGCTGAAGTGTCAAGTATAAGTTGAATTGATTACATTTGACCAAAGAGGCAACATTAACTTGCCATATTTGCCACTCTATGTAGATCATATTACCAGGCATACAACATGCTGGCTCTTGAAAACACACACACAGAGATACAACAGACACATAACTCGCACACTAGTGTGCACACATATGCATAGCAATATCCACTCTAGTAGGTAGTACGTGTTCGGTTATGCACCTATCTGTAGTATAGTATCTTTAAGTAGTCTATATACACCCGCAACTGTTAACGTCTCGCCCCGTCCCGGGCCCCCCTCTGCCTCTCAGTTGGCATCATGTAGGTACACATGTCCCCGCTGGCCCGCGATCTGGCATGAGGCAAGAAACACAACGAATACGCTGTACGAATGTGCCACCAAAAATGTATGGTCTGACATTTGGGGATTGAAAATGGATTTGGCAGACATCGATTTGAAATTTCTTTTGTTTCGATTTATTTTTAAAAATGCCTGCACATGTCTTACACTCTTCTTCCTGCGCTTTTTGCCGATCTCTGCCTCTGTCAAGTCGAATTTGCTGCAACTAACACCTTGTCGAACAAGTGCAAATTAATTTGAGAATCTCGCTTAAATATTTTTAAACTTTGTTCTTGTCTTAGGCAAATTTTAAGAGTTTTTTAGAAGAAAAATAACAATTTATTTTGTTCATGGAAAATTGGATTAAGATAATGGGAAGACTGACTTGTCTAGAGGCTTGTTCTTTGAATAGATAATGTATCTTAAGCATATATTGGATATGTATTTTTTTAACTAATGCCAGCTTTTACATGAACATAAATATACTGACTCCTATTGATCTTGTTATATTTTTCATTCATAGAAATTTCATTGTTAAGATTACAATCTTTCATTCCGAAATATATAGCATATATAAATATGTTACCAGTTGGTTCTATTAAGTAGAACATCAGTAAAACATGATCATCTGGTTATTTATAACGTATATAGCATTAGGCGTCTATTTGTCATATAAATTAAACTATCTGATTATTTATTCAATACATAAATCTGTGATCTTTAAAATTGAAGACTTGTGAGGCATAGGCATATAATGATATATGTACCGGATAATGATATAGCTATATTAACAGTTTGTTGGTATGTAATCAAATTGATGTCTACTTAACTGCTATACAAATTAGATTTGAATCTTTCAGCCTGTTCATCTAAGGTTTTTAGTTTTTGAAATAACAGATAATGATATTTACGGATTCCTATTGATTTTCTATATGATTTTTTAATTATTCTCTTTTTCTAATCAGCAATAGAATTTTAGATGTCGATGTATACTTATTACCCATTGATTTCCTATCTGTTTTTGCGCTCGTTTTACTAGTTAGTCCTACATTATAAAATACTCTCTGAATGTTTTCAACTTTTGCGCAGTTGTTAGCTTCTTAGTTGATTAGCTTGTGGTACTTACCATTACTAAACAGACACCGGTTTCATTACTGTGCACTGTCATTTAATTTCGGTTTGCTTTCCAGGTTGAACTAATAATAATTATACTCAAAAAACGCACGGCACGATTTTGAACAAAACAAAGCAAAGCCCGCACAATTTCCAAATTCGTTTGAATTGGACTCAAAATTTTTTAGCTGCAACTTGTGCATGAACTGAACTTCTTCCGTGTTGGTTCTCCAAATTGAGTTGTTTTGATTTCTTTTCTTTTTGTTATTGTAATATTTTTTGGTGTATTTATTATAATTATGTTGAATTTCTTGTAACTTCCAGCGAACACTCTTTAAGTGCGCGTGTGTGTATGTGTGTGTGTGTGTGAGTGGGTGTGCACCACATGTATTTAAAAACTAGCGCGAATTTTACACTTTTTTCATGGTGCGCATATACCGACGGTCAAACGATTGAACGGTTAAACAATCCAAAAGTCGGAACAGTTTGCGATTGAGAACTACGGTGTTTGAAAATCTTAGCGCCTGCTGCTGCCAGGTTACAGTGGTGGCAAATGCAAAGGCCAAGGCAAAGGCATTAGCGAAAACGAAGTCGGAGTCGAAGTTTGAGCCGTAGCCGGAGCCGGAGTCGGAGCTAGAGTTGGAGTCAGAGTCGGAGACGGAGGCGAAGGCGAGCCAATGCAATGCGAACGCACGTACTGTTTGGAATCGAGGCGGCGAGGCGGCACGACAGGCTGCGACTAGCGCTGCGGGCACTACGGGCACTGACAGAGGCGCTGGCACTGGCACTGACAGAGGCAGAGGCGCACACGGGCACGAACGAGCTGACTGACGAACGAACGAACGATACGAACAATCTGCGTAACAGCCAAAAGTAGACTAACATGAGTTTCTTGAGCAACTACAAAGTGTACGACAAATGGGAATTACACGACAACCGACAATCGAAAACAGCGAAAACAGCAACAACAGCAACAGCAGCAGCAGCGGCAGCGGCAACAACAACAACAACAGCAGCAGCGAGCGGCAGCTACAAGCAGCGTCGCTACCACAAGAGCAAAACACACACACACAGATACGCGTCGAATGCACACAGATAAGCCCGGTGCGAGTGTGTGTGTGAGAGAGAGCGCCGGCGACTGTGGACAAAACTCGTTTCTCCCATAATTCGTATGGTTGTGTGCGTGTGCTCTGCTCTCTCGCGCCTGTCAGTGTGTGTGCGTGTGTGTGTGTGAGCCACAGCAAAAGCAGAAAAAGTATCAACAGCAACAGCAACAACAACAACACTAACAACAACGACCAACAGCGACCGTAACAACGGCAATAATGATTATCATTAAAAGTGGGCTGGCTGTTTGTCACGCGTACCGTGTGTGCGAGCGAGACGGGCTGCTGGTTTGCTGGTTGCTACTGCAGCAGAACAATAACAACAACAGCAATGAGAACCGGTTGCGTCACGGCGACAGCAACTGCGGCTGCAGCGACAGCAAAACAACAACAACAACAACGACAAGAACAACAACAACTGCTACAACTACAACAGCACAAAAATTATCTGAAAGCTGCTGCGACCATAAATAAAGTATCTGGGCTATTGCGCCGAGCGCTAGCGAGAGCGAGACAGCACCTGAGAGTAGCCACGAATCGCATTCGCTTAGTAGATTGTTGTGCGCTTGTTGGTTGTTGCCTGTTGGCTGTTGGCTGTTGTCGGGCATCTCGTGTGGACGCCGAGTGCGAGTTTGTTGTTGCTGTTGCTGTTGCCCCGCGTGTTAAGTGCGAGCGAGCCAGCAGAACATGAAAAAATTAACTTAACAACTAGAAAAATGGCTGTTATTGCGTGTTGTTGTAAATGCCGATGTATGTATTTGTACGCACT